AAGCATGAGTGGTCAGTCTGCCCCTGGCTGCAATAGGTCCTAGATTAGAATCAGATACAGAGTGTAAAACTCTACACTGCAATACAATTTTATCAAGTGTGTGGCACATGTATGTGTTAATGTGCATGAAGTGGAAGAAGCAGGGGTGTGATGTTGTATTTTGTGAATACTCTATACATAATTACATTTGTTTGCTCACTCCCACACTAGAAGTTATTTTAATTGAAATATATATATATATATATATATATATTTATTTATTTATTTATTTGCAGCATAAAAGCACATCATTTAGGATTAACTAGAAACTTTATCAGGATTATTTACTAACTTTTAGCTAGTTTGAACTTAAATTAGACATTCACTTTGAATTATCACTGTGGCGAACTTGCCCTCGCCACGAGCTCCTGGAGGAGCCTGCTTGTTAGTCTACTGCCTCAGGACTATGGGTCATGCTAAAAGGCTGTTGAAAGACCGGGTTCGTGGGATTCCCTTGGACTGTTCGGAAACCGAGCCAACCCACAAACTGTGGACCACCTCTGAGCTTATTGACCCTTGTTAACCTCCCCTGACAGTTCTATCAGTGTGGGTTCTAATTGTGTGGCTGGGTAACCGACTTTCGTATGCACGAATGCGTGGGAACTGTATGGCGGCCATCTTGTTCGCAAGAATGCAGGCAGCGGTGTTTGGGCGTCGATCGCGTGGAACTAAAATCGGACACTGAAACTCCCGAACATCGCTGAACTAGGATGAACGCCGGCTCCTTCCCCACACACATCAGGAGAGCGCCATTCGGTAGGTTTGTTCGTATGGTTCATACGAACAAGGGCTACCAAGTAGCCAGAGTGTGCGTTCGGTATTTCTTTCACATGAAACTCCCGAAGTTGACCGGCCAAAAGCACAAAACGCCCTGGAATTGTTTTGGGCATAGGACCATGTGTGGGGCCGGTAAGAACTTACACGCGGTGGCGTTTTGGCTCTGACCGCTTTTCGTATATGTTGGGCGCTCAGATCCAGGCTTTCCGGGGATGACTGTGGGGGTTTATATGTGGGAAATATGTGTTTTTATGGTTTTTCATATTTGTTACTAGTTTTGCTGAGTCATGATCACAATGCATTTTGTTGACATAGAAACATAGAATGTGACGGCAGATAAGAACCATTCGGCCCATCTAGTCTGCCCAATTTTCTAAATACTTTCATTAGTCCCTGGCCTTATCTTATAGTTAGGATAGCCTTATGCCTATCCCACGCATGCTTAAAATCCTTTACTGTGTTAACCTCTACCACTTCAGCTGGAAGGCTATTCCATGCATCCACTACCCTCTCAGTAAAGTAATACTTCCTGATATTATTTTTAAACCTTTGTCCCTCTAATTTAAGACTATGTCCTCTTGTTGTGGTAGTTTTTCTTCTTTTAAATATAGTCTCCTCCTTTACTGTGTTGATTCCCTTTATGTATTTAAATGTTTCTATCATATCCCCCCTGTCTCGTCTTTCCTCCAAGCTATACATGTTAAGATCCTTTAACCTTTCCTGGTAAGTTTTATCCCGCAATCCATGAACCAGTTTAGTAGCCCTTCTCTGAACTCTCTCTAAAGTATCAATATCCTACTGAAGATACGGTCTCCAGTACTGTGTACAATACTCCAAGTGAGGTCTCATCAGTGTTCTGTACAATGGCATGAGCACTTCCCTCTTTCTACTGCTAATACCTCTACCTATACAACCAAGCATTCTGCTAGCATTTCCTGCTGCTCTGTTACATTGTCTGCCTACCTTTAAGTCATCAGAAATAATCACCCCTAAATCCCTTTCCTCATATGTTGAGGTTAGAACTCTATCAAATATTCTGTACTCTGCCCTTGGGTTTTTACGTCCAAGATGCATTATCTTGCACTTATCCACATTAAATGTCAGTTGCCACAATTTTGACCATTTTTCTAGTTTACCTAAATCATTTGTCATTTGGCTTATCCCTCCTGGAACATCAACCCTGTTACATATCTTAGTATCATCAGCAAAAAGACATACCTTACCATCAAGACCTTCTGCAATATCACTAATAAAAATATTAAAGAGAATGGGTCCAAGTACAGATCCCTGAGGTACCCCACTGGTGACAAGTCCAAGCTTCGAATATATTCCATTAACTACAACCCTCTGTTGCCTGTCACTCAGCCACTGCCTTACCCATTCAACAATATAGGAATCCAAACTTAAAGATTGCAGTTTATTGATAAGCCTTCTATGTGCAACAGTGTCAAAAGCCTTACTGAAATCTAGGTAAGCAATGTCTACTGCACCATCCTGATCTATAATTTTAGTTACCCAATCAAAAAAATCAATAAGATTAGTTTGGCATGATCTCCCTTAAGTAAACCCATGTTGTCTCTGATCTTGAAATCCATGTGTTTTTAGATGTTCAACAATCCTATCCATTAACATGGTTTTCATCACTTTCTACACTACTGAAGTAAGGCTTACTGGCCTATAGTTGCCCGACTCCTCCCTATTACCTTTCTTGTAAATGGGCACAACATTCCCTAACATCTAATCTTCTGGGACTACTCCTGTTAACAATGATTGGTTAAATAAATCTGTTAATTGTTTTTCTAATACACCACTAAGCTCTTTTAATAGCTTTGGGTGTATTCCATCAGGTCCCATTGATTTATTTGTCTTTACTTTTGACAGTTGAAATAGAACCTCTTCCTCTGTAAACTCACGTGTAATAAATGATTCATTTATCCTTTTTCTTAACTGAGGTCCCTTTCCTTCATTTTCATCTGTAAATACAGAACAAAAATATTCACTGAGGCAGTCAGCTAGACCTTTATCCTCTTCTACATACCTTCCTTCTTTTGTTTTTAATCTAACTAACCCTTGTTTTACTTTTCTTTTCTCATTTATGTATCGAAAAAATGTTTTGTCCCCCTTTTTTACTGACTGTGCTATTTTCTCTTCTGTGTGTGATTTGAAAGCTCTTATAACTTGCTTAGCCTCTTTCTGCCTAATCTTATAGATCATTTTGTCTTCCTCACTCTGGGTTTTTTTTACAATTCCTAAATGCTAACTTTTAGTTTTTAACTATTTTGGCCACATCTGTGGAGTACCACAGTGGTTTCTTGAATTTTTTGCTTTTACTGACAAGCCTAATGCAATTTTCTGTTGCCTTCAATAGTGCAACTTTTAAATAATCCCATTTCTCTTGGACTCCATTTAAATTTCTCCAGTCTGATAATGACTCCTCTACACATATTCTAATTTTAGAAAAGTCTGTTTTTCTAAAGTCTAAAACTTTTGTTTTTGTGTGGTGTGACTCAGTCACTGTTCTTATATTAAACTGAGGTACTTTTTCCACCTGCACTGTGAATGTTTACATGGTGTGTTCAATAAAAACATGGCAACTTTTCATTCTTTGTGTGTTATTAGTTTAAGCAGACTGTGATTGTCTATTGTTGTGACTTAGATGATGATCAGATCACATTTTATGACCAATTTGTGCAGAAATCCATATCATTTCAAAGGGTTCACATACTTTTTCTTGCAACTGTATATAGTGTGGGCAAGGTTGTGGGTGGCAGGAGACTCTTATTTAGTGTTAAATAGCTCTCAAATGGTTTGACAGTAAATGGAGGGATAGCATCAGAGGACTTCCGGGACTATAACCAATGCAATGAGATAAAATTGTTCCTACAGTCTCTTTTAAGGGCGCTCAGACTTCCACTACTCTTGGGCAGTAGCAATGATTATAATATTAATCAGCCCAAATACACCGAAAAATAAATATTTACCTAAGATGTCTGCAGTGACACAGCAGGCGAGCTTAAACTTTAGTGACCATTTTAGTATTATTAAAACCATCTCATATTTAAAGGGACACTATAGCTTAGTGTATTTGTTCAGGTGAGTATAATTTTATGGCAAGACAGGAGGCTTCATATTTGCTTTACTTTCTTTTCTGTCACTCCCAGCAGCAAAGAAACAGTTAACAGTAAGTAAAAAAATTTAACAAATCAGAGTGTATAGTAGAGTATGTCCAATCATCACGCTCCTCCCAACTCCTCTTTCTTTGCTGCTTGCCTCCCAGGTGAGTCTACTCCAATTACAGTCTGTAATCAATTTACATATATAATATAAACATGACTTAATTTATCCTACTACTACTTCACTTAATATCTTTATGCTTATTGTACTCATAATTTTACTATCTATACTACTCAGGACGCTTCCCCTTTAATTTAATGCAAACCTTTTAGGTTTACGGTCTCCTTAACAAACAAATCACCTCCTGCAAGCACCTTCCGTGTCAGTAATCTGATCGCAGCTTCTGGCCGGCTGCCAACCTGCGGGCGGTATCGCCATCTTCATCGCCGCGATCGTTCCCCCAACCGTCACCATAGCGACGTGTCCGTCCTCGTCGCTTTATACTTCGCCATTCCGGAACGGCTACTGTAGTTAGGTGTCTTCAATGGCTCTCCGGCACCTTCTGCTGGTTGATTAGGTAAGTTACAATCTATTTTAAAGATGTACAATTTAAATAACCTAGCTTGTAGATTTGTTATATTAAAGTGATTTCACTTTGTTTTTTATTACAGATTGCAATCTAACCTGCTAACTAAATCCTTGCATAAGAGGGTGACCCCCTCTATATCTCAAAGAAAAATCTGTTTTGCCTCATTACTGAGGGTAACCCCCTCTATATTATTCTAATATTTTGCTTCACAGCAGAGGGTGACCCCCTCTATATTATACCAATTATTTGCCTCATATAAAAGGGTGACCCCCTTACTGTCTCCTGAGGGTGACCCCCTCATGGCATAATATTAATTCGGTTATATCGTTTTCTTCTGCGTTAAGTGTGGGTGACCCCCACGCTTAATTGGCGATTGAAAGCCTTTATTTATACGCTTTGAGTTTTTTTGATCAAGCCTTTTGAGTTAAAAAAAATTATATATATATATATTTATACTTGTGGTGACCCCACTTCTCTCAATATGTCTGATTTGCCTGAACCAGCAGTCTCTGCGGAGCTCAAAGCTTGGCTCTATAACGCCATTGCAGACTCCATTCCCAAAGCCTTGGCAGCTTTCCATGACCACTCAAAGTCTGCCCCTAGGGCTCCTGATAAGCGCCTCTCAGACTCTGAAGAGTCAAAAGCTTCAGACCATGACGAATGTCCCCGCAAATGCCCTTGGAAGGGCAATAGTGCCAACGCCGGTAAAGGCAAGGCACCAGCAAAAGCACCTAAATTATCTCTTTCGGCTACTCGGGATGATACCCCCAATTATACCGTTAACCCATTAGAGGGTTCAACCTCCAACCTGCAACTTCAGGTAGTGGACGAATACTGTGCAGGGTATTCGGACGAGGATTTTACCTCCCATGAACGCCACCAAAATGAGTCCCAAACCTCTGATCCTAACCAAAACATATCTGAGGATATTTTACTATATACCTCTGGCCGCCCCCTGTTCGACCCTAGGTATATCAAACACCCACGCTCTACCGAGTGGAGCCCCCCAGACCACATAGCTAAGTACTGCAGGATGTGGCTCCATAAACCTTTGGAAAAAGAAGTGAGAGCTAAATTAAGAGCAGAATGCCCACGACCTATTATCCCAGACAAGGTGGCTGTTACTCCAGAATTCGATCCCTTACTCGTCACCTTCCTGTATAAGACAGGAAAAGACCCCCGTAAGGGTTTGGAACAAGGCCTTAAGGCCACCCAGGATAAGATGATGGATATGGCGGGGCCCACTTATCCAGATATTTACTATCACAGATGAGGCTTTGGCAGGTGGCACTTTGGACGCACATATGGTGCGAGAATGAGCACAGAGGGCATTATGCCTACTAGGCAACGCCAATGTTGCCATGTCAACTGAAAGACGGAAAGCCCATTATACAAAATAGATTCAAAGATGGCCAAATTAGGCACTAAAGAGCTTGAAAAAGCCTATTTTTGGCGAAACGCATTGTGTTTTTTATGATTTTGTTAAACTACAAGTATTTTTAGACTACCTATCTACCCGTGGTTAGTCCTCTTACTTTTATTTGTTGCTGTTTTATCCTGGCTGATTTTTTTATTATTCTAAAGATCCAGTACTACAAAAGAAATCCTAGGTGGGGATTATTTCACTCACGCCTGGTTCATAGAGCAGTGTGGCTGCTCTATACACTGTAAGTACGTTTCATTTTATCTTTTACTTCTGTTTTATCTACTGAGAACACTATGGGCCCTCTTTTGTGATTTTATTTTTCATAAGTCCTGCATTGCAAATATCGCTAGAAGGATATCCTACATGTGGGGAATTTAAATACCACTGTATGCTGTTTTACTCAGAGCTGGTGATAGCTCTCTCAATTGTAAGTTGGCACTCTTAGGACCTCAGTGTTTGTTTGTAGTTGTAGGTGACATACGTTATTGCACCATTGGGTTTTATTTTATATGCTAATGTGTATCTGAGACGCTGCAAGAAGTATTGAAGAAACACCTCCTATTGTCCAGCTATATCCTACATGTGGGGAGTTTCAAATACCACTGTATGCTGTTTTACCTAGAGCTGGGCATAGCTCTGTATATTGTGAGTTGGCACTTCTCTATTCCTATTCCTTTTTGTACGTCCTTTTTTCTGTGTATATTATCTCTCATTGTTCTATTTAGCGCACCCTGTATTTGCTGTTTCCTGTTGAACTGATCTGAGAGAACTGAACAAATTCATCAAATGCAGACACTTCAAGATGGAAGGCATCCATCTACTACAAGACCTCCTCTGCGAGGGAGATTGGTTCTCCCGCTTCGACCTCAAAGATGCATACCTTACGGTACTCATTACGCCAGAACACCGCACTTTCCTCCAATTCAATTGAGGCCAGACACTATGGCAGTTCACCTGTCTCCCCTTCGGGCTGTGCTCCGCACCTTGGTGTTTCACCAAACTAATGAAATCGGTGATGGTGCTACTCCGCTCACAAGGGATTCGGTCCATCACATAGTTGGACGATATCCTCCTTATGGCTCAAGACGAAGAGACTCTACGTCTCCATACGGTTATGACTTCGGCTCTCCTCCAGAATTTGGGTTTCATCATCAACCTCCAAAAATCATGTTTAACTCCGTCTCAGACGGTACAGTTTCTGGGATTTCAGATAGATTCGATTGAGGCAGTCCTACAACTCCTTGCTATGAAGATCAAAACCATAGAAAGGACATCTGGAGATTGCTGGCCTTACCACATCTCCGACTCAGGGATTTAGCCCGCACAATAGGATTACTCTCCGCCTCAATCCAGGAAATATTTCCAGCCCCACTACACTATCAGGCAATGCAACGTTTGAAAACACGCTACTTGCATCGCTCAACATCTTACGACCAACAGATTTTTTTCACAGACGAAGTCCAATTGGATCTCCATTGGTGGCTTCAACATATGAAAGCCTGGAACGGAAGGGCTATCTTCGGCCGGTAACCCGATTTCATTCTGGAATCAGATGCCAGTCTCCTTGGATGGGGTGCTACCTGCTTGTAACGTTCTACCGGAAGACTCTGGTCCCCATAAGAACAGGCTCTACACATCAATTGCCTCAAACTAATTGCTGGTTCTTTCGCAATTCGCAGTTTTGCCAACGAAGCCTACAACTGCAGCCTTATCCTGAGGATGGACAATATCTCAGCAGTACGATACATGAACCGCCTAGGTGGCTCCCGATCAAAGATGCTATCAGATCTGATGAAGGAATTGAACCAATTCTGCCTGGACAGGAATATCTCCCTTCGTGCAGAATATCTCCCAGGCTCCGACAATCTCGTCGCAGATTGGTTTTCCCGTCACTGGAGGGATTCCAGCGACTGGCAACTGGACCCACAAATTTTCCACCATCTACAGGTTCTGAGAGGGCCACTCAACCTGGACCTGTTTGCATCTCGCCTGAACCGTCAGACGGACGCATTCTTCAGCTGGCTTCCAGACCCAGCGTGCCTGGCAGTGGATGCCTTCCTCCAACCGTGGCCAACATCCGGAGCATATGCCTTTCCCCCGTTCTACATGAACACACGCACGATACAATGCCTCAGAACACAGGGCGTCACGATAACACTGGTGACCCCACTGTGGCGAACCCAACCATGGTTCCCCTACCTCCTGGAGGTGTCAGTGGACTACCCCCTACCCACCTCCTACGACCTCCTCAGGGATCCTTTGATTGGTGGCCTGGACCATTTCAGGAGATCCTGGAACCTCTCTGGCCTTTCAACTGCTGCTCGAGGACTCCTATGGGACAAGACGGTCTTATCTCTCAGCGTGGCAACGTTACTATATACCTCTGGCCGCCCCCTGTTCGACCCTAGGTATATCAAACACCCACGCTCTACCGAGTGGAGCCCCCCAGACCACATAGCTAAGTACTGCAGGATGTGGCTCCATAAACCTTTGGAAAAAGAAGTGAGAGCTAAATTAAGAGCAGAATGCCCATGACCTATTATCCCAGACAAGGTGGCTGTTACTCCAGAATTCGATCCCTTACTCGTCACCTTCCTGTATAAGACAGGAAAAGACCCCCGTAAGGGTTTGGAACAAGGCCTTAAGGCCACCCAGGATAAGATGATGGATATGGCGGGGCCCACTTATCCAGATATTCACTATCACAGATGAGGCTTTGGCAGGTGGCACTTTGGACGCACATATGGTGCGAGAATGAGCACAGAGGGCATTATGCCTACTAGGCAACGCCAATGTTGCCATGTCAACTGAAAGACGGAAAGCCCATTATACAAAATAGATTCAAAGATGGCCAAATTAGGCACTAAAGAGCTTGAAAAAGCCTATTTTTGGCGAAACGCATTGTGTTTTTTATGATTTTGTTAAACTACAAGTATTTTTAGACTACCTATCTACCCGTGGTTAGTCCTCTTACTTTTATTTGTTGCTGTTTTATCCTGGCTGATTTTTTTATTATTCTAAAGATCCAGTACTACAAAAGAAATCCTAGGTGGGGATTATTTCACTCACGCCTGGTTCATAGAGCAGTGTGGCTGCTCTATACACTGTAAGTACGTTTCATTTTATCTTTTACTTCTGTTTGGACAGGAACGTCGATCCCTTTTCAACCTCTTTGATTAACATCATGAACTTTCTGGCATCACTCTTTGAGCAGGGTAAGTCTTATAGGTTGATTAATGTTTTTCGTTCCGCCATTTCGGCAGCTCATAGCCCTGTTGACAACTCCGCGGTTGGCAAACATCCCTCCATATGCAGACTCTTGCGGGGCATTCGCCTCGCGAGACCCCCGGCTCCGAAATATAATCAATTTTGGGATGTTGCTATTGTGCTATCCTTCTTATAGGCTTGGCCCTCTAATGAAGAGCTCTCTCTCCGACAACTGTCGGCCAAACTGGCACTGCTGCTCTGTTTGGTATCCTTTAGAAGAGTTTCAGACATCAGAGCATTTGACGTCCATGCCGTTGACTTTACCCCTGAGGGAGTACAATTCTCAATTACCCGACGCACTAAAACCAATTCCTTTACGGTGAAATACCCTTACTTCCACGATAAACCCACGCTTTGTGTAGCTAGTTGCGTCCAAGACTACATCCTTTGCACTAATGCCCTAAGAACACAAACAGGCCCCCTACTGGTGTCCTACGTTCGCCCTCACAAACCAGTGTCATGTACCACGATTGCTCGTTGGATCAAGTTGCTACTGGCCCTAACAGGCATCGACCCATGTTTTGGTGCTCATTCCGTGAGAGGTGCAGCCGCCTCTTCTGCTTTTACGTCTGGGAGCTCTCTAGCGGAGATCCTAGCCTCCGCAGATTGGTCCAGAGAATCCACCTTCAGAACCTTCTATTTCATACAATCTTCTCATGTATCTAGTTCCATCTTATCATCGCTTTAAAACTGCAAATATGAAGCCTCATGTCTTGCCATAAAATTCGGGATTACTCTAACCTTGACCGAATAATCTAAATTTTATTAAAGACAGGAGGCAAATATTTACTAAACCCATATATTTTCGTAATCTAAGTTTTCAGCTTACTCTTTACAACTGCATTTACAGATACTATCAGCTTTAACTCATAACATAAGATTTGTCAGAGTATTTGGTGTACACTTTGGTTGGAAAAATATCATTTAAAGTAATTAAGTGTTGTTTCTCTTACCCAAGAGACCATACTTTCACGACCTCTCTCTCTCTCTTTTTCCTAGTGTGAAAACTCTTCACTATCTTCGCAAAGAATTACCTACGTTTTCCCCACATCGTTTACATGGTTGACTTAGTTTTGAACTATTTGTTGTTCTACCGTTTATGTTTACATGGTTGACTCTACGGCTGTCAGGTGCATCAAGAAAGAGGAGTTGGGAGGAGCATGATGACTGGACATACTCTATTATACACTCTGATTGGTTAAATTTTTTTTTTGTTATTCACTCTCTTCATATTTATTATGATATCTCACATATGCAGAATATTTACTCTCTTGTTTGATTTATGATTTGTACTCTTGTGATGGATAGAAATAAATGTAGGTAAAATGTCTATTTGTTATATGCACCCGTGCTCATTCCTTACTCAAAATGGCCGCTAAAACACACCCTCCCATCGACCAATACACTTGTGTAACAAGATGGCGTCTCATATAGAAACATAGAATGTGACGGCAGATAAGAACCATTCGGCCCATCTAGTCTGCCCAATTTTCTAAATACTTTCATTAGTCTCTGGCCTTATCTTATAGTTAGGATAGCCTTATGCCTATCCCACGCATGCTTAAACTCCTTTACTGTGTTAACCTCTACCACTTCAGCTGGAAGGCTATTCCATGCATCCACTACCCTCTCAGTAAAGTAATACTTCCTGATATTATTTTTAAACCTTTGTCCCTCTAATTTAAGACTTTGCCCTCTTGTTGTGGTAGTTTTTCTTCTTTTAAATATAGTCTCCTCCTTTACTGTGAGTCTCCATCCAGAGCTGCACCCAATATGATGATGACATCAACACCCTGGAGGAAGTACATCTAGATTAAACACTTAACACTTAACCAATTAAAAGTTTATATTTCATATTTGCACACAATGCATCCCTTTGCCCTTTTTAAGGGGCTACACCCACCCCCTGAATAAACAATTGAAAGTTTTCATTCATCTGAACTTTGGTGTCAGTGTGGTTTCTTCAGCGTGCACGCATCTCATTTTCAAAATCTGGACAGAAACTTGGTCTGGTCCAAAACAATTTGGCGCCCAACGTGGGAAAGAACTTGGCCCTATGGCCAAGTTATGGAGCACTGAGGGCCAGACACAGCTCTCTGAAAAGGGTATCACCAAACAAACCCTGAATTGGAGTGTAAATGGCTTTCCCCAATTCCACACAGAAGATGCATTTACTGAAGCCCCTCCTACAGGCCAAGACTTGGACACACCCCATGATTGCTTTGAGCAAATGAAGATGGAGACGACACACCTCCCAACTGTACATGATGCTGCCTTACAGGAGCCTGACATCACTCTGTTTGTAGATGGCTCCAGATATGCTGATGAAGAAGGCAGATCCATACTGGATTTGCAGTCACCAAGCATCCTCACTCCCCTCAACCATGTCTGCACTAGAAGCTGAGCTACAGGCCCTCACCACAGCAGGCAAGATCTCTGAAGGAAAACGCGCCAATATCTACACTGATTCAAAATATGCACTAGGCATGGCCCATGACTTCGGAGTAATCTGGAAGACAAGAGGATTTCTCACAGCAACTGGCACACCGGTGAAAAACAGCACGGCTATCATGGATCTGATGGATGCCCTATTCCTCCCTGAAGAAGGGGCCATACTAAAGGTAAAAGCTCATGGGAAACTGAACTCGGATGAAGCACGAGGCAACCATCTAGCTGATCAAGCCGCCAAACAAGCCGCGTGTGCGCCGTGGAAAGCGGACAGAAGAGTGTCCACCAGAGAAACCCCCATATTCACCATGCAGACCCTGCCAACGGATCTTAAGCTCTTTAAAAAACTGCAAGCAGCTGCTGACACCAAAGAAATAAAGAGCTGGAAACAGAAAGGGGCAACCCTTAAAGACGGGTTGTACTCCAATCACCTCAAGTTCTGCTTACCCAAGTGTATGTACCCAGCAGTGGTCCAGTGGGCACATGGGACGTCACATCTGTCCAAGACCCTCATGAACTCCCTGATCAACAAGTACTACGAAGCACCAGGAATTACTCCCTTAACCCCTTAAGGACACATGACATGTGTGACATGTCATGATTCCCTTTTATTCCAGAAGTTTGGTCCTTAAGGGGTTAACAAACAGCTACTGCAGGTCCTGAACCATCTGTGCCAAATGTAACTCAGGCAGGATGGAGAAAGCCCCACAGAAGCATCTAGCCAAACCCCTCTATCCCTTCCAAAGAATCCAGATTGACCAGATTCAAATGCCAAAGAGTGGCCGGTTTGAGTATGCACTAGTCATAGTAGACATGTTCTCACGATGGCCAGAGGCCTACCCGGCCACCAATATAACAGCCAAGACTACGGTCAAATGCCTGCTCACCGAAGTGATATGCAGATATGGGGTCCTCGAGGTAATAGAAAGTGATCAGGGACCAGCCTTCACTGCATTGGTAACCAAAGAAATCTGGGCAGCACTAGGGGTGACCCTTGCATTCCACACACCCTATCACCCCCAGAGTAGAGGTAAGCTAGAACGCATGAATGGCACCCTAAAGGCTAGAGAGCCTCCCCATTGCTCTGTTTAGTGTAAGATACACACTGAGAGGGAGGTTTGCTTTGTCCCCCTATGAGATCCTGTTCGGATCAGCACCCAGACTTGTATGCTATTTCCCTCAACAACTCCAACTCCACTCTGATGTATTGGTTGATTATGTAATTGCCCTCTCTCGTGCGTTGAGCAAAATCCATGCACAGGTGTTTTCTTCCACTCCAGATCCCGAGTCAGATACAGGTACCCATCGATTGCTTCCTGGTGATTGGGTCCTGGTTAAGAAATTCGTGAGGAAACACTCTCTCGATCCAAGATATGATGGTCCCTTCCAAGTCCTCCTAGTCACAGCCACTTCTGTCAAATTGACAGGGAAGAGCACCTCAGGACAGGAATTACACGCCTCCCATTGCAAGGTTCCGGTCCCAGAGGAGATGGACTGTCCAAAGCCATGATCGTCCTGTATATCCTTTCACTACTAGGCCAACAAGTAGCCATCACTAAAGATAATAATATATACAACTCATCCAACACACATGTGGCCACCTTTGCGTTTGACTATTGCGAGATTGTTAGTTGTCCATTCCCACAATCATGGTTACATAAATTATATAGGGATATTCCTTGCACTAAAGACCCATATATATGTTTTACAGACAATCATTGGGGAGAAAACTGTGGTTACTGGAGGGCGGTGGGCTGGAACGCAGGACCGGATTGGGGCTACAAGCCGCAGAGTGCCTTAGATAGGAAAGACAAAAATGGGGAGTCCTTATTAAACAGAATAACTCTATGAAAACCGGGAGGGGGAGCGAATGAAACTCACCCTAAACATAGAAAATCCTAGTCCCGGCGACGCTGGCCTGTTTATACTAGGGATGTGGTGGGGGGGATAGACGGGGAAGATTCTACCGCCCCAAAATAGACAGGAAAGATTCTACCTTCAAGATATGTACCAATCACTCGAGTGGGCAGCTTCCCAGCATCTGACCAATCCTCTTAAACCTCACATTCTGTCAGGTATAGCATGGCATGTATTTCGTCGCCGGAACCCACTTCCGGGTTCACGGCGCTCAGCCCCGCCCCTTTTTTCTGACGCGGTCCCTCCACGATACTTAGGAAGACCGCGCCAGATTCAAAGGGCTGGATTATTCGCACAGGTGCTGCAGAAAGATCAGCTGCTCTACTTTTGATCCTACCTGCTCCACTTCTAGACCTCGGCTAGTAAAACGGATTTCTACCTTCTCCACTTCTCGACCTCGGCTTGTAAACGGATTTCTACCTTCTCCACTCCTAGACCTCGGCTTGTAACACTGAATTCTACCTTCTCCACTCCCAGACCTCGGCTTGTTAAAACGGACTTCCCCACTCTCCACTCCTAGTTCTCAGCTTGTTGAAACGGACTTCTAATTTCTCCTTCATTGGGTGAAGTAACCCTTCCAGTGCCAGAACTGCCTTTTAGTTAAGTAATACTTTTACCAAACAAGCCAATTTCTATTATTTATGTTACACAGTATCTAAAGCTCACTAAAGTGTCACTTTGCCTAATTATTCCTCTTATTCATAATGGATTGCTACAAAGCCTAATTTTTCCTTCATGTGTATTTAAAGGTACAGTGACCATTGTTTCATATCAATATAAAAGGAGGTGAAACTTATTGTTGCTGCAATCAGGAAATTCTGCAGTTGAGTTCCAATTAAAGAAGTATTACAAAATAAGTATTACAGAATAATCCAGCCATATTCAATGGAACCAGCAGATATCAACTTTCAAGTTTCTGCCCTAACCAATAGAGTGGATACGATTGCTCAAGGGTTACAGGAACTGCAAATTACAAATGAGAGAATATTAACCTATGTTAGAGACATTCAAGGTCATCTTCCTCATGCCGCTCTTCAATCGGCTGGTGATCCTGCTGTCTGTAATCCAGAAAAATTTTATGGAGATAGAACAAAGTACAGAGAGTTTTTGAATTCTTGCAAACTACTAATAGCTTTAAAACCTAGATCTTATCCCACCGAAAGATCCAAAGTCTGTTCAGTGATCTCTTTTTTAAGAGGTGAACCTATGGCCTGGGCCCATTCCTTTTTGGAAAATGATGATTCCATATTAGATTCATTGGATGAATTCTTTGAAGCTATGTCTTTATTATATGAAGATCCTTTTAAACAAACTACTGCTGATTTAACCATCAGAACATTACACCAAAAGAATAGACCTGTTGAAGATTATATTGCAGAATTCAAAAGATGGGCTACAGAAACCCAATGGAATGACATTACTTTACGCAATCAATTCCGTCTCGGATTATCTGAAGCTGTGAAAGATGAACTCTCTCGTACAGAACTTCCTCCTACCTTAAATGCATTGATTCAACTGTCCATAAGTATTGATAGACGTCTAAGAGAAAGAAAAGCTGAACGGGTTCTTACTAATTCTACCTGGAGAAAACCTTTCACTACTCTAAAACTACCTGAAAAAATTCCTCCACAAACTGAACCTATGGAAGTAGGTATAATAAAAAGTCCTCTTACTTCTGAAGAAAGAATAAGAAGGAGACAACTAAACTTATGTATGTATTGTGCTTCGAATGAACATCTAATTTCCGAATGTCCTCTACTGAAACATTCAAAAGGTGGTAAGCTTCATTCATCTACCTCTATATTGAACGTTTTTCAAAAAAGAAAAGCATCTACTTATTTTTCTATATCTCTCATATTACAGTGGGATACAAAAAGAATCGTGACTGAGGCCATCATTGATTCTGGTGCTAATGGAACTTTTCTTGATTTTTCTTTTGTTTCAAAAAATAAAATTCCTTGTGTTCAAAAAACTAACTTTATTCCAATCAGAGTTATTGACGGTTCATTTATATCCTCAGGACCCATCAAAGATGAGACAATCCCTCTAAGAATGATTACCAACAATGTACATTTCGAATTCATTACATTTGATATTATTAAATCTCCACTTTATCCCGTCATTCTAGGAATTAATTGGTTAAAAACCCATGATCCTTTAATTAAGTGGTCTCCCTTCTCCATCTCCTTTGCTTCTGATTTCTGTAAAAAAACGTGCTTACAAAACATTCCTATTCTCCAAACTACTAAAGAACCAGTTATACCTCCATTCTACTCCGATTTTGCAGATGTCTTTTGTAAAAAAGAAGCGGAAACACTTCCTCCTCATCGGGTATATGATTGCCCAATAGATCTCATACCCGGAGCTCCTATTCCTTATGGTCATATTTATCCACTCTCTGAAAAGGAGTTAGAAATTTTAAAAGAATATCTTAATGAAAATTTACGCAAAGGGTTCATCAGACCCTCGACCTCCCCAGCTGCTTCTAGTATTTTCTTTGTGAAGAATAAAGACCAAACCATCCGTCCTATTATAGATTACAGAGCCTTAAATAAAATAACTATTAAAAATCGTTATCCTCTTCCACTAATAAATGAATTAATTGAAAGGTTAAGAACTGCAACTATATTCACTAAACTCGACCTTCGAGGCGCATATAACCTCATTAGAATAAAACAGGATGATGAATGGAAAACCGCCTTCCGGACAAGATATGGTCTCTACGAATATCTAGTGATGCCTTTTGGGCTCTGTAATGCCCCTGCAACATTTCAACATTTTATAAATGATATCTTTAGAGATCTTCTGGATATATGTGTTATTATCTACTTAGATGATATCTTAATATATTCTAACAATTTGGATGAACATAGGAAGCATGTTAGATGGGTTCTATCTAGACTGAGAACTCATAAATTATACGCTAAACCAGAAAAATGCCTCTTTGAGGTTACTGAATTCTCTTTTCTAGGATACATTATTTCACCTCATTCTTTGAAGATGGATAATTCCAAAATCAAATGTATTATTAACTGGCCCTGCTCCTACTACTACAAAAGAATTACAACGTTTTCTTGGATTTGCAAACTTCTATAGAAAATTTATTAGAAACTATTCGGATGTATCACATCCTCTTAACCTCCTCAACAGTAGTAAACGTCCTTTCAATTGGAATAAAGATGCACAAACAGCCTTCGACGAATTAAAAAAAAGATTTACAACTGCACCTATTCTACAACTACCTAATCCAACATTCTTATATGTTCTTGAAGTTGATGCATCAGAAGCAGCCATCGGAGCAGTTCTTTCTCAACAAAAGACTCCACAAGATCCACTTCATCCAGTTGCCTTTTTTTCAAGATCCTTGAGCTCTGCTGAAAAAAATTATCCTATTGGTGAAAAAGAATTATTAAGTGTTAAAGCTGCCTTCAAAAATTGGCGTCATCTTCTGGAAGATACAAAACAACCTATAATAGTTTATACTGACCATAAAAATCTTGAATATCTCTATACTAACAAAACCCTTACAGCTAGACAAGTTAGATGGAACCTATTTTTTTACCGATTTAACTTCCAATTAATATACAGACCTGGAACTAGAAATAAAAAGGCTGACGCTCTTTCTCTAATTCCTTCTAAAACTACTACTGATGATTATCCTCCTAACAAAATAATAGGGATCCTCTCTTCTCTTCATGATGACATAAAGAATTTGAATCAGAAGGATCTTGAACTTCCCAAAACACCTATACTAACAAAAAAGGATGGTATATTTTATTTTAAAAATAGAATTTATATTCCTCCCATTCTTAGGAATAAATTACTTAAGATGGTTCATGATTCACCCCTAGCTGGACATCCTGGAATAAAGAAAACACTTGAACTAACTTCACGATATTATTGGTGGCCTCGCCAGGATAGAACCATTGAATTATATGTCAAAACATGTCCTATCTGTCAAAGGTCTAAACCAGAACATAATCAACCTTTTGGATTACTACTTAACTTACCTATTCCAGAAAAACCTTGGCAATCCATTTCTATGGATTTTATCGTTGATCTCCCACCTTCTCAACATTTCACCACTATTCTTGTCGTTGTGGATCGCTTCACAAAAATGTCCCATTTCATTTCCTTAAAAAAATTACCCTCCTCTGTAGAATTGTCTAAGGTCTTTATTGACAATATTGTGAAACTTCATGGTCTTCCTGAAGAAATTATTTCTGATAGGGGGACACAATTTACCTCCAAATTCTGGAAAGAGATGTGTCTCTCCCTTCAAATTCAACGCAAACTCTCTTCCGCTTATCATCCCCAAACTAATGGGCAAACAGAAAGGGTTAATCAATGTTTGGAACAATATCTTCGATGTTATTGTTCATACCTCCAAGATGACTGGACCACATGGTTACCTATGGCCGAATTTTCTTACAATAATACCATTCATTCTAGTACGAAAATGACTCCTTTCTTCTCCAACTATGGTTTTCATCCGTCTTCATTCCCCATCCAAACCATTACTTCATCCAATCCTACTGTTACATCAAAAAACGAATTTATGTCTTCTCTATTTCTCAAATTACGGGAGAATCTTCAACTCGCCCAAAATAACCAGAAAAAGTTTTTTGACAATAATAGAAGAATTCCCCCTCCTTACAAGGTAGGGGATCTTGTCTGGCTCTCTTCAAGGAATATTACCACAAGCCGTCCTTCAAAGAAATTGAGCTCTCTTTTTCTTGGTCCCTTTCCAGTACTTACTATCATTAATGATAACGTTGTTAAACTAAAACTTCCTCCAAGTTTTAAACTTCATCCAGTATTCCATGTCTCCTTGCTTAAACCACACATCCCTGATCCTTTTTATAGAGAAATAGTAACAACTCCTGAACCTATCATTGTCCAAGGTGAAGAAGAATATGAAATTCACAAAATTTTGGATTCTCGTGTCCACCGTGGCTCCTTACAATACCTTATCAGATGGAAAGGTTATGGAGTTGATGAAGACACTTGGGAAGATTCATCTAATGTACATGCTAGGAGGTTAGTTACTGCCTTTCACAAACGCTACCCCTCCAAACCGAAATAGTGCACCCAGAGGATGCCCCATGAGAAGGGGGTACTGTCAGGTATAGCATGGCATGTATTTCGTCGCCGGAACCCACTTCCGGGTTCACGGCGCTCAGCCCCGCCCTTTTTTCTGACGCGGTCCCTCCACGATACTTAGGAAGACCGCGCCAGATTCAAAGGGCTGGATTATTCGCACAGGTGCTGCAGAAGATCAGCTGCTCTACTTTTGATCCTACCTGCTCCACTTCTAGACCTCGGCTAGTAAAACGGATTTCTACCTTCTCCACTTCTCGACCTCGGCTTGTAAACGGATTTCTACCTTCTCCACTCCTAGACCTCGGCTTGTAACACTGAATTCTACCTTCTCCACTCCCAGACCTCGGCTTGTTAAAACGGACTTCCCCACTCTCCACTCCTAGTTCTCAGCTTGTTGAAACGGACTTCTAATTTCTCCTTCATTGGGTGAAGTAACCCTTCCAGTGCCAGAACTGCCTTTTAGTTAAGTAATACTTTTACCAAACAAGCCAATTTCTATTATTTATGTTACACAGTATCTAAAGCTCACTAAAGTGTCACTTTGCCTAATTATTCCTCTTATTCATAATGGATTGCTACAAAGCCTAATTTTTCCTTCATGTGTATTTAAAGGTACAGTGACCATTGTTTCATATCAATATAAAAGGAGGTGAAACTTATTGTTGCTGCAATCAGGAAATTCTGCAGTTGAGTTCCAATTAAAGAAGTATTACAAAATAAGTATTACACATTCGGACCTTCAAGGACGTGGTGCCATAGGAGACCCCACATTTGAAGACACTATAGCTACAGAGACAGGGTTCTTCAATACTAACCTATGGCTAGAATGGATGAGATATACTGCTAACAAACATAATAAAACTAACTGTTATGTATGTGGAGGAGCCAGACCCCACCTAGGTACCGTACCCCTAACCCTACCCCCCGGACGCAGAAGTGTGTTTCCTGAGTCTCTTCACCAACACCGGGACTAATCAGTCAGTGTGTGAATCATGGAAAAGGGAATATCCGATTATAACTAAGACCCCCAAACCAAATGACGGTATCACCATGTATCCAGGGAACTATACGTGCTACGTTATATACGGAGGAAAAGGCAGGTATATGGGAAATTTCACCAGTGGGTATTGTGCCACCTATAGCAAAGTTTCAGCTGCCTTGCTACTGTATCAGACTCAATCCCTAGGAGATATATATTGGTTATGTGGGGACATGAAGATTAGGACGAGATTGGAAGGCCAATGGTGGGGGGGATGCACCTTAGCCAAGGTTATTATGCCTCTACACATTATATCCGACAGTTCCCAGGAAACACTTGGTAAATCGCCCTCACTCATTAGGAAAAGGAGGAATGCCCCTATAAAAGGCAGTTTCGACCCTCATGTATATATAGATGCCATTGGCATGCCAAGGAGGGTGCCAGATGAATTCAACGCAAGGGATGAAGTTGCAGCAGGTTTTGAATCCCTTTTTCTGACCATCACTGCCAATAAGAACGTGAATTGTATTAATTACATATATTATAACCAACAACCAACCAACTATACAAGAGATGCTCTCCAAGGGATAGCTGAACAACTACAGGCCACATCCCAGATGACCTTCCAGAATAGGATGGCCCTAGACATGATCCTAGCAGAAAAAGGAGGAGTGTGTAAAATGCTCCCGGACACTAGCACATGTTGTACCTTCATTCCAGATAACACAGGCCCAAATGGGAAAGTGACCTGGGCTATAGAAAAATTAGAGGACCTGGCAGAAGAGTTGGAAAGAAACCCTGGGATCACTGACCCGTGGGATATATGGTTCGGGTGGATGAGTGGCTGGCAGAAAACTCTGGCCCAAATAGGTATAGCCGTCCTAGTAATTTTAATTATCCTTGCCACTATTGGTATAAAAAAGTGTTTTCAAAAATCAGTAGCTCAGGCCACACCAGCTTTCGTTCATCAAGAAATAGATGAGGAAGATTTTGAGAATTTGCAATCCCTCCCCGCCAGTTACAGGGCTACAGTATTTTAGGGACAAGCAGGGACAGCATCTGACTTCCCTATGTGCACAGTCTGTAACAAGGAGGGTGATGGACAAGCCATCACTCGTCTAACGTGTAGCAAGAAAAGAGTTCCTAGACACATTGGGACAGATGGTAGAGACAGATGTATATAGTCATTTTAAGGGGGGACTGTGATGGATAGAAATAAATGTAGGTAAAATGTATATTTGATATATGCACCTGTGCTCATTCCATACTCAAAATGGGTGCTAGAACACCCCCTCCGATCGACCAAAACACTTGTGTAACAAGATGGCGTCTCCATCCAGAGCTACACCAAAGATGATGATGACATCAACACCCTGGAGGAAGTACATCAAGATTAAACACTTAACCAATTAAAAGTTTACATTTCATATTTGCACACGATGCATTCCTTTGACCTTTTTAAGGGGCTACACTCGCCCCCTGAATAAACAATTGGAAGTTTTGCATTCATCTGAACTTTGGTGCCAGTGTGATTTCTTCAGTGTGCACGCATCTCATTTTCTAAATCTGGACGGGGCAGATACTCAGGCAGACACTTGGTCTGGTCCAAAACACTCTATCTATCTCACCCCTATTTATATATTTATAGTGAGCATGTACTATACATCCTCTTTTAAATTAACTTAGACTTAGATCTCCTAGTACGTGTAGGACTCTGCACCTATTAATATTTATTCATTTCTCTAAGCCTATATGGGGGCTTTTTTATACTAGTTGAGGACATCCACCTACCACTCACAACCGAACAGGGTTTAACCCCATTAGTACCTGTTGATTTCATTTTTTCCACTCACTAGGGCCAGAGTATTCTGTCCATTTACAATATATCACTGATCTGCCCGACAGCAAAGTAAACATCTCAATCTGGAGCATATAAGTTCAATAAAAAAAAAAAAAGAAGCCACTAACTGGGGTGGGGAGGAGCCTCATAAGGGATGACTTGATATATATAGTATTATTTATTTTAATTGTAAAGACCCAGTGTGATTAGAGGTTATAATTGGAGCGATCTCTGTGATCTCAGGTCTCTCTTACGACATGATAAAGTCCCACAGACCTTATCTTTCAGCTATAATTGACATGCCCACAACTGTATATATTTCTAAACTAAAATAAATATGAAAATCTCACAGCTAATTAACAGTGACATTTCCATTAAAAAATGAGGAGGATATAATTTAGCTTTTTTTAAAGTCTAATGCCTAGTTTACTGGGTTACTGTTCAGATACACTGACTATTAATTCTTTTGTGAACAGCTGACAGCTACCACACTAGTGACAGCGTAATTTGGAGTAATACCTGGTGTATATATATATATATATATATGTAGCCTGTGATATTTTCCCATTACCATAACTAACCATATCATCAGTTCGCTTAGCCTGTTTTATTTACTATTTTTGATTTCTGATCAATGACATATCTTTTGTGAGCTTGTTTATTATATATATATATTTTAAAAAAATAATAATAATTTAAATGTGCATTTAAATCATACGCCATGATACTGTTTATTATCAAATGTTTGCATAGGCTTGCTATCACTGTTGTAGCATTACAGGCCTGATTGTACATATATGAAAAAAAAAAATGAAAACAAACAAAAAAAAAAGGAGGAGAGGGGGAGGCTGGGGAGAGTGACAATATTTCGGCATCACAGAACTGTTATTGTTATTTTTATTATTGTTTTATTTTTTTCCTCAATTTTACCTTATTTCCCCCCCCAATTTTACTTTAATGTATTATTTGCCACGTGTCTATGAGGAGTATTGCTTTCTCTTGTCATTAGATAATTCTCTTGTTGCATAATAATGGTAAATGAGTGTTGTTAATCAATACTATATATATATATATATATATATATATATATATATATATATATATATATATATATATTGTAATGAAAACACTTGGCCTAGCACGTCTCGATGTAAAACTACTACAGATATTTTTACATTTCATAATTTTCTTACTACAAAAAACTGAAAAAAAAATATTTACGGACATGTATTGCATACTTTAAGCTTTTTTTTTTATATATGCTTGTAACTAAATAAAGAATAATAAAAAAAAATAATAATTGTACTTTACACAAAAAAAAAAGAGAAATCCCTTTTGCAGTTCACGATTTCATACCTAACTCCTGTGAAGATTTTTTCCTATTAAGGCTTATTCGGGCAGCTTTTCTTCATTCCAGGACCTGCTCCATTCCTTTCTTCCAGTCCCTTCACACCTTCCAACAAAATGGCGCCCGAACCGCCCTAGTCACACTTCTCCCGCGTGCCCTGTGTGGTTTCCCGCGCTTACGGACGTGCAACGTCACGGCGTACACCGAGCCGGAAGCGAGCCGGCCGCCATCTTTGTACACCCCGGAAGAAGGAAGGCATAGCCACGTGAGTCGTGCAGCAGTGTCAGGCTGTACACTGTATCTCGCTTGTAAACAGGTTGCTGTGTCTCTAGGTGGACGGGATTAGTCGCCGGCTCTTTTTGAATGATGGATTTATCAGAGGATTTGTTTGAGGGTATTGTAATGTGCGAGGAGAGGTAAATAGCTGCCCATGGTCTGTTTTATTTGATATTTTATGGGTTATTGCTGTGTATAATGGGCCTCTTGGTGTGAAGTACCAGGGTGACTGACTGGAGCTGTGTTTGCTTGGCACTATTATTGATATATTGCTGCCTGATTGATATATTTTATGACCTTCTTATAATATAACCAACACTTCTATGCAAATTGTAATTTTTAAAGGTGACATCCCTGCTTGGTAGGTGGCCATGGGGTCCACTGGAAGGTAGATGTACTTTCCCGTTGTTCCCAACTGATACCATGTCAGTTAGTCCATCCATTGTACAGCGCTACGGAATCTGATGGCGCTAGATAAATCATAAAATAATCATTCCACCATTTTCTTTCCTCTGCTCGTGGCGCTTGTACGACCAGGGGTTGCCACGTTAGCAGTATACTCTCACACATGCACAGGCGTACAGCACTGTTGCCTATGGAGAGACATCCAGAGACCAGCTCTGCTAGAAGGAGGACGCGTCTTCTTTTGACACGTTTTCTTAACGCCAGGCTTAACTCCATTTATTTTTTGACTACGCAATCTTAATTACATTCCCACACATTCACTGTGTGTATTTCATAAAGATACATCTTTTTGAAATACTCCAAAAGTGTGGTCTGCTCAAGCAGCCACTTAAAGGTTAAATGCAATGGACCACTATTTATTTTGATTTTTTTTTTAAGAATATTAAGTTATTTTAAAATATCTTATTTTATTTTTTAACATTAGTTCAGTTTATATTGTTTTTTGGTTTTTTTTCCCCAATGAAGTGGTAAAGGTGTAGCTAATATGAATGTAGACAGATTAATAAAAACTGGATCTAATAGCATCTCATGGTAGGTAATGTCTCATAGACTTTAATATCATTCCTATAGTGACCTGTTCAGGGTTGGAGCATCAGATCAAGGTTAACGTACACTGAGTTGTCAGTGGGCATCAAGTCTTGTCCACTGGCCCAAGATGTCTGCATCGGAGATGCAGGTAGGTAAGTGTGACCCTGCCGAGGCCATAGAAACGTGCATACCTAAACCATCTCATGCTGCACTGTCGTATTAGTTAACTATTGATTTTTGGTGAAACATGCAACAGTATTAGAGGGATAATATAGGCACCCAGACCACTTCAGTTAATTGCAGCTCTCCGCAGTGTTACACATTTATCTGTGCCTTGGTGAAATCTGTGTGTATGTTCCTTCTTTACCATAGGTTCCATGGCAAGGGATACGAGGAAGGTTTTGCTGAAGGAAACTCTGTTGGGGAGTCTGAAGGCAAGCAGTATGGTGCAAACTACGGTGCAAGGGCAGGATCAGAGGTAAAATGAATCATTTTAACTCCCTTTGGAATAGCAGGAGATTGCGGTAGGATTGGAAACAATGGGATTCATAACAGGTTTAACAAACCACTAATGTGTAAGAGAGTGAAATACCCCCCCAGAATTTTAGTTTAATTTGTCAGTCATATGATGTTGTAGAGCTTAGTCATTGACATATAGTGAGCATTACATCAACATTCTAATCCTTTGAAGAAACATTCCAAGGAATAGCATCCGGAGACTAGAGGCAACGTAAGCATTACACAGAACTGTGGCAGTTGTGTTTCCTTTAAAAGAAAACTGTCATCAAATGTTTAATTTTTATTTATTTTTTTAAACATAATGAGTGATCTATACTAAAAAAAAATTTGTTGTTGGGTCAAACTCAACCATTATCTGACCAGCTGCTGTAATTTTTGTGTATGAAGCTGCAGGTAAGTTAAGTTTAGCAGCAGTTTGTCAGATATCAGTATTCAAAGTAGCTAAAAGGTTGATCCCTGTAGCAATACACTGCACATACAGACTCCAAGCACCATAACCACTTCAAATCACAGAAGATGTCATGTTGATTGGAGTTACCCTTTGTCACGGTCACTACAAACTTACCTTTCTCTTACTTTTTACCTTTCTCTTTCAGAATCTGTTTTTGTTAGGGAATAATTTGCATTAGGTATTTTTCCCAAGCTTGACAAAGGAAACGGAGCTTGCCTTTTGGCTCCATTTTTTTGTCAAGATTGCCAAGCATTCCAATATACACAAGAAAAAATAGTCCCTACTTTGTATTATGTTTTTAAAAAGAATAGATCTGAAAAAAAGAGGAAACATTGAGAGAAATGTAAGTTTGAGGTAACTGAGCCGCTTTACGTTTTGTTAAATTTAATAAACTTTTTAAAAACAAGAAGTAAAAATTTAATGACACTTGCCCTTTAAAGGAACACTTGAAGCACCATAACCATTACAGAACCATTCTAATGTAAGTAGTCAAACAGTATTAAAATTGTTTGATTTCCTGACTGGTATTTGCTGAAAGCAACAAAGAGCAAATATTTGCCTTGACACAGCAGGTGAGGTTACACTCTAATGGCCATTTGAGTGATACTGAAATCCTGTGTTCATTGTGCGTAAGATATATAGGAAGTAAGATAGTGCGCATGTAACGTTTTGGGCAGGATGGGGAGGTTGTTGTATGTACTTCAGCCATTGCTAGCACCCAAAAGTAGTGGGAGTTTAATCGCAGGTCTGAAGTTTGTGTTCAAATATCTCGTAGTTGGATAAAGGCTAAATTACTTCCAATTGTTGAAGGTTTTTAATTTTTTATTGGATTTTGGATTTCTTCCATATTGCTTAGGAAAGCTGTTCAATTGTCATGCCTGCGTCTCTGTGATCAAACCAAAGCCTACTCTGCAATGTCATTGTGTACAGTACTAGTCACTTGCTGACCCATTATTCTCTGTAAAAACGCAATACAGAAGCAGATCAAGCTTGTAGTATTGAACAAAGATAAAAAGCACAAGAGTACATTACAGACTATTTGCATCCAATGCCAGCATTTACTGTTAATGTTACTTTGCATACGCTCTCACTCAGCCAATTATGTGCTATCCAAACTTGGACTAAATGAATATTTTTAATGCCAGTCAAATTAGCAGTGTGGTCTGTGACCATGACCACACAAACATCGCTTGACCTTGAATAGGGTGGATGTCATCACTGGCGTTATCACACCATAAATATTCTTTTGTAGTGATCATGGTGCTTAATATGTGTGTGTGTGTGTATCAATGCATGCATACACAAATGTAGAAATTCTTTGCACTCTTGCTCACAAGTATTCTTCGTAATAATGCCGTCGCTAGACTGTAGCCACAAATATGTAAAAATCAAATAGGGATAGTTTGCACTCACAGACTTCTGTAAAATGTAGCATTTATTTCCTCATAGCAATACAATTCGCACTAGCTAAAGTGCAGAAGATGCTCAGAATAGTCGACGTTTCATACACACTACAAGGGGCTTTGCACTTGTCGTCTCCCAATTTCTCGATATGCCATAGTGCATTCTCCATCCAAAGAAAGCACTTGTGCAGGACTTCTTATGTTATTCCAAAGCTACCTTACATACGATGACAGCAGCACCATATATTTTACATTTCAGTCCTACAGTTGGACTTTTTTCAAGCCCTGTAATGCGTGTGTGTTTTTTTTTTTTCGTCTCTCCTAACTGATCCTGGGATTATTTGCCTTCTAAATGTTCTGATCTCTCTCTTATTGCCTTTTGTACATAGCTCGGTTGTTACTTGGGTTTTGCATCTACGTGGAGACATCTTCTTTTATGTGACGTGGATTCCAGACACAGGTAGGTTTCTCTGTATTTTCTACCAGTGCACTGCGCAGGCACCCTAGCGAAATACTCTTCTGATGAGTCTGTGGCAGTTTAATACTATTTTTAGAGACATATCTGGGGATCATCCTTTTACCATAGTCCCTCTTCAGAAGAAAACAAAACACCATCACTGTTTAGCAATCCAGGTGATTCTCTTTTAACACATTAATGTCCATTGATTGCTACAATTTGTATCTTCCTTAGGAACCCTGTTATAAACAAATATTACTTTTGGAATACAGTACTAATTGGTTAGAATGCATGACCCTTAAACGTTCTTTCAATTTATATCGGGATGCAATGGGGGTTGTCTTTTAAGAAAAAGTATAATTTTTATATATATATATATATATATATATATATATATATATATACTTTTTTTTTTTTTCCCCTCCTCAAGTAAGAAAATAAAGACACTGGATTCGTTAATAAGCATGATCCAAAATTTCTCTTATGATGACCCTACTAATGACAAACTGCAGGAAGAGATTGCTAGGATCCGGGGGAAAGTGAAACAGGTGAGAGTTTGGTATGAATATAGTGTTTTAAAGTGTGTGGTATGTAAGGATAGAAAAACACATGGAATTGAATTGAGGTTTGTTTTCTCCCTAATCCTCTTCCTTTTAAATCATTATGTTGTTCTATGTCCTTTTTTGTTTTTGTTGAGAATTCCCATTACATTTGTCAAAAAAAGTAATTTTTTTTTTCTTATAAGCAATATTTGTTATTTATTTTGGGGTACTAAGCTAGTCTTTTAAACATTTCAGTAAATAAGGCTGTGAAAATATTGGTACAGAAATAACATGTAATAGATGTAGACTTTCATTAAACGCCCTTTGTTTCTATGAGGTCTAAATTCCAATTTGTATCCAGTCTGATATAAACCACAAATAAAGGCCTTTGTCTAAGCCCAATGGAAAGTTAAAAACCCATACAATTTTTCTGAGAGGTTGTTCCTTATAATTATGAATACCTCACCATTTCTAACATCGTGGTAACAAACAACAATGCCTCCCAAAAAATTATAATTTCAGTTACACAAACTAGTCCTCGTGACACCTCTTCTCGTGTGCAGGAGTCATCGGTGACTTGTGTGACACCTTTATTCGTTGACTTAATCCTAAAATACTAATGCAATCCCTCTAAGGCAAAGCAATTGTAGATCTACCATGCTGATATTTTTCTGTATTGACTAAGCATTGTCCGTGTGTGTCTCTCTGTGCAGGTTTGCTCCATGTTATCCGTACAACCTGATTTTAAAATGACTAAAGACGGGGCAGGACTTTCATTCTAAGCTTGAAATGGCTTGTATGAGATCTCGAAGTGCCGATTGTGTCTCCTTCCACCAGGCTGAGCATGCCACGTTTCTCTGGTTTGGTTTACAGTGGAGTTGTTGGAGGAAGTTGTGTTGATAGTAACAGAAACTAGAAACAACTGATTACGGAATGCACTTTTCATAGCACATTTTGTAGAACAGGGCCGTGTACAGGCAGGTTAACTGTATACAACTATGGATTTGTAATGTCCACATATAGAGTAAATCCTGTCCTCTTTCCTAGTGCCTATAAAATACAATCTATAACAAGAATAAGAGACAGACTATGGGTCACTGCTGGAGACAAGGTAACCGGTAGTTTAACCCCTTAAGGACCAAACTTCTGGAATAAAAGGGAATCATGACATGTCACACATGTCATGTGTCCTTAAGGGGTTAAGTAATCTATGATCAGACGTGACTTGGGCTTTATACAGCCATGTAGCACTTTACAAGGGGACCGTATCTTGTATTGATGGTGATTAAATATGTATTGATGTTTTTGTAGGGTGGGGGAGATATTTATTAAAAATGAATTGAAATGTTACTAGTTGATTGTGATTACTGTTTGCAAATAAAGCATCACACAGATGTTCAAACACACATATTCTGTAAAAATATTTACAAAGGATCAGCCTTTAATATACTAGATATTACAGAGATAAATATAAGGCAGCACACCTGAAAAATAGGGCTCCCTCTCAGGCCCTATAGAGTAGACAAAACAAAAAAAGGTGAAGGGGGAGGCGGCGGCACCACAGGTGGGGAAAAAAAAACCTGATTTAAAAACTATACAAAAGAAAATACATACAAGTTAAAAAAAAGGTAAGTCCCAAAGAATTCTATGCCTGATGAATACAGCAAAAAGTCCAAATAAAACCTGGTATAAGAAGTCAATCACAATCTTGTCAGGGGAAGTATTCCTCAGTAACGTATGGGCATGGGATATTCGTGAAATCCGTATGAAAAAATAGACCGCAAATAATGGTGCAGTATATCCCAACAGGTACTAAGTACTATTTGTAAGAGGTCTATATGGTCCTACTCACGTTTTTCAGAGCTATAAGACTAGCTCTAGTGTGGATGGCATACCGTGGCACAATCCCCACTTATGGGATACGTGAAGTTTTGTAGTAGATGGATATCTTGTTGGTATAAGGACCATATGAAATATAAAAGAAACAATAATAGTGCTTATTGTGTAAAAGCCAGAGGTGGAATAATAAAATATCAAGTGGTTACTCACATTTTATTGAGCAGGCAGACTGCTCAATGGATAAAGCTTGAGTGGTATAATCCCCACCAAGGATTCTTTGGAGTAAAATTCTCACTGGAACAATAAAAACTCTGTTGTTAGGTAAAAATAAATAAAGGTAAAATGGCTGACACCCTAAATGTTGGGTTAAACACTATAGGGCAGATGGATTACTATAGGGTCAAAGGTTGTGGATAAAAGGCATATTGCAAGTCTGTTGCTCTTCATAATTCATTTTCAGAGTGTAGTGGTGTTGTGGAGACTGGCTCAGGCACCAAGTGTAGTGGTGTTGTGGAGACTATGGTGAGGCCTAATAGAAAGCAGTTGTTGGGGATTCTATCTAAAAAAAAAAAAAGTTAGCATTTAGGAATTATAAAAAAAAAAGTGAGGAAGACAAAATGATCTATAAGATTAGACAGAAAGAGGCTAAGCAAGTTATAAGGGCTTCCAAATCACACACAGAAGAGAAAATAGCACAGTCAGTAAAAAAAAAAAGGGGGACAAAACATTTTTTAGATACATAAATGAGAAAAGGAAAGTAAAACAAGGATTAGTTAGATTAAAAACAAAAGAAGGAAGGTATGTAGAAGAGGATAAAGATCTAGCTGACTGCCTCAATGAATATTTTTGTTCAGTATTTACAGGTAAAAATGAAGCAAAAGGGCCTCAGTTAGGAAAAAAGGACAAATGAGTGACTTGTTACATGTGAGTTTACAGAGGAAGAGGTTCTATTTAAACTGTCAAAGTAAAGACAAATAAGTCAATGGGACCTAATGGAATACACCCAAAGTTATTAAAAGAGCTTAGTGGTGTACAAAAGCATTAACAGATTTATTTAACCAATCATTGTTAACAAGAGTAGTCCCAGAAGACTGGAAATTAGTGAATGTTAAACCCATTCACAAGAAAGGTAGTAGGGAGGAGTCGGGCAACTATAGGCCAGTAAGCCTTACTTCAGGAGTGGGGAAAGTAATGGCAACCATGTTAAAGGATAGGATTGTTGAACATCTAAAATCACATGGTTTTTAAGATCAGAGACAACATGGGTTTACTTCAGGGAGACCATGCCAAACTAATCTTATTGATTTTTTTTAATTGGGTAACTAAAATAATAGATCAGGGTGATGCGGTAAACATTGCTTACCTAGATTTCAGTAAGGCTTTTGACACTGTTGCACATAGATGTCACAAAGTGTGCAACAGTGTCAAAAGCCTTACTGAAATCTAGGTAAGCAATGTCTACCACACCACCCTGATCTATTATTCTAGTTACCCAATTTAAAAAATTGCAATCTTTAAGTTTGGATTCCAATATTGTTGAATGGGTAAGGCAGTGGCTGAGTGACAGGCAACAGAGGGTTGTAGTCAATGGAGTATATTCAAAGCATGGGCTTGTCACCAGTGGGATACCTCAGGGATCTGTACTTGGACCCATTCTCTTTAATATTTTTATTAGTGATATTGCAGAAGGTCTTGATGGTAAGGTATGTCTTTTTGCTGACAATACTAAGATATGTAACAGGGTTGATGTTCCAGGAGGGATAAGCCAAATGGCAAATGATTTAGGTAAACTAGTGGCAAGTGACATTTAATGTGAATAAGTGCAAGATAATGCATCTTGGACGTAAAAACCCAAGGGCAGAGTACAGAATATTTGATAGAATCCTAACCTCAATATATGAGGAAAGGATTTAGGGGTGATTAATTCTGATGACTTAAAGATAGGCCGACAATGAAATAGAGCGGCAGGAAATGCTAGCAGATTGCTTGGTTGTATAGGGAGAGGTATTAGCAGTAGAAAGAGGGAAGTGCTCATGCCATTGTACAGAACACTGGTGAGACCTCACTTGGAGTATTGTACGCAGTACTGGAGACCGTATCTTCAGAAGGATATTGATACTTTAGAGAGAATTCAGAGAAGGGCTACTAAATTGGTTCATGGATTGCAGGATAAAACTTACAAAGGAAAGGTTAAAGGATCTTAACATGTATAGCTTGGAGGAAAGACGAGACGGGGGGGATATGATAGAAACATTTAAATACATAAAGGGAATCAACACAGTAAAGGAGATCTTTAAAAGAAGAAAAACTACCACCACAAGAGGACATAGTCTTAAATTAGAGGGACAAAGGTTTAAAAATAATATCAGGAAGTATTACTTTACTGAGAGGGTAGTGGATGCATGAAATAGCCTTCCAGCTGAAGTGGTAGAGGTTAACACCGTGAAGGAGTTTAAGCATGCGTGGGATAGGCAGAAGGCTATCCTAACTATAAGATAAGGCCAGGGACTAATGAAATTATTTAGAAAATTGGGCAGACTAGATGGGCCGAATGGTTCTTATCTGCTGTCACATTCTATGTTTCTATTCTGTGCATCTGTATAGATTACCACTAGATGTCACTGTTGCACCAGTAATGGTGATGAGCCAAATGACACATCAGGTCACTTGAGATTAGAATTCTGCTCCACTCCTCCTTGCTTGATATTGTATCCCAATTTTTTTTTCCTTTCAGTCTTTTGTTACAGAGAATTGCAGTCATGTAAGAAGAGGAGGGTGGAATGTCCCTGCATTTTACTGGGGCCGGGGGTCTGTTTTTTCTGCTTTGTATATTTTGTACAAACTTGTTACTCATTCATTAGAATTCAGTGCTGTCTGGTGTTTTTTCAGTTGTCCAAACTAGCTGTGTATTAAAACCTTCTGTCTCTTGGGAAGAGAATGTATACTCAAACCAAATGAGCGTAGAGATTATATAATCCTGAGTCATTCTAATACACCGAGAGGGGACTGCATAAATAAACAAACTCTTTGTAAAACTAAGCACGAGTTCTTCCACAAATGTGTGGATTAAAAGGTTCTCTTAAATAATATTTCATCTGTACATTTTGCAAAGGCAGAGATTAGTTCCTTTATTGCAACATTTTCCTTTTTTTTTAATTTTATTTTAAAAGGAGCATATATTTCTGAAACTACACTAGTAGTATAAAACTACACTACGAGCACAATATTATGTATTGATACAGAGAAAACTAAATATTTACATTTCCTCATAAAACCTTGGCAGCATTGTTATGGCTGTGTAGCTCCACCCTCATAAGCTTAAAGGAACTCTATAGAGTCAGAAACAAACATGAATTCTTGATCCTATGGTGTAAAATTAACTATTCATCCCCCCCACTCCCGGTTCCCTCTTGCCCCCTTAAAGTTAGTAAAAACTTGGTTTTTTTTCCAGCGCAGCATGATTCGCCGGGCGATGGCTCCGCAATTGATCTGTCTCCTTGCTGACATCATCAGAATTGATATCAGCCAATCACATTGCTTTTCTATAGGAAAGCATTGGATTGGCAAATGTCAATTCTGATGATCTCAGCCAAATAGGTGGGCTGCGGGTGGAGCCTAACATCACCTTGGCCAATCAGCATCTTCTCCTAGAGATGCATTGAATCAAGCATCTCTATGGGGAAAGTTCAGTGCAGAGGGTGGAGACACTGAATGGCAGTCATGCTGTGCAGCACTGCCCCAGGAAGCACCTCTAGTAGCCATATGAGGAGTGACCAGTGGAGTTATCCCTAGGCTGTAATGTAAACACTGCATTTTTTTACTGCAAAAAGCATGCAGGAACTGACTATTCTCACCAGAACATATACAATAAGCTGTAGTTGTTTTGGTGACAACAGTGTCCCTTTAATGTTGCCATGGTTTTTAATTAAGAAAAAATTATGATAAGGGTTAGACCTACGCCTATCCTCTGCCCGGATCCCCACCTCTAATGCTTGCCTTCAAGACTTCTCCAGGACCTGCACCTATTCTGTGGAACTCCCTTCCCTCCTCAATCAGACTTTCACCCAGCCTCCACTCCTTCAAAAAATGTTTGAAAACTCACTTCTTCATTAAAGCGTATCAATTAAACTGTCAGCAGGTTTCTCATCCCCCACCCCATGACTCCTTTCCTGCAACTGTCAAAAATGACCTACCAAGCACTCAATAAACCCTTTGCTAACAAACTATTTAATTCCCCTACTTTAACCCTTTGTGTCACTATACCCCCCTCCCTCTAGCATGTAAGCTCATCGAGCAGGGCCCTCAACCCCCTCTGTTCCTGTATGTCCAGTGGTCTGATCTCATTTATGTGTCTGTTAGTCCACCCATTGTACAGCGATACGGAATTTGTTGGCGCTATATAAATAATAAAATAATAATAATAGTAAGGGTGGAAATTTGTTTCTGTTTTCCTGATCAAACCATGGTTACATTAGTTTATGTGGGTGGGGGTACTACAATTTTAATTTTTTAAAAAAATTATTTATTCATCATTCACAGCAATATTGAGAATGTATAAAATAGTATATGATCCAAGTGGATAAAAATCAATGATTTAAAAAAAAAAAAAATTTAAATAGGATTTTTCTCTTAAATCAGATTTATTTTAATAAAATCCTTTGGAGGAAAATCTGTCTAAAGATAGCTTTCTATTTAAAGGACCACTATAGTGCCAGGAAAACATACTCGTTTTCCTGGCACTATAGTGCCCTGAGGGTGCCCCCACCCGCCCGGCTCTGGAAGGGGGAAAGGGGTTTAAACTTACCTTTTTCCAGCGCTGGGCGGGGAGCTCTCTGCCTCCTCTCCTCCTCCGATCCTCCCCGCCGGCTGAATGCGCACGCGCGGCAAGAGCTGCGCGCGCATTCAGCCGGTCACATAGGAAAGCATTCTCAATTTTCAATGAGACAGCCACTAGAGGATTAGGGGGAAGGCTTAACCCATTAATAAACATAGCAGTTTCTCTGAAACTGCTATGTTTATTAAAAAATGGGTTAACCCTAGAAGGACCACGCACCCAGACCACTTCATTAAGCTAGAGTGGTCCTTTAAGATAATTATATTCCAAAGGTTTTTTCAGCATTCAATAGTTATGGCTGTGGGTTTATCCAAGTTTTATTTTTTTTTGTAAATTCCATTAATCTGAGTGAATTGAACTTGTGACTGCAAAGATAACATGCACTTTTTCACAATTACCTCAATACCTCAACAAAATTAAGGGGTTACTCCAGGTACCATGATCACTTTATTGATTTGAAGTGGTTATGGTGCCTGGAGTCTGAATGTGCAGCGTTTTTTATATGAAAAGCTGCACATGCAGAGTTAATCCCCTCTGCTGCAGGAGGTGTAACTCCACCTCTGGTGTCATTGGTGCGTAATTAGCCGGCGCAGAACAAGAGTTCCATGTGGCTAATGTAAATTCTGTGCAAGTTTTGCGTCTGACGCCAGCAAACAGCATGCTGGTGCCAGGTAGCCAATGGCAGCATGGCCCCCTACTGTGCTGTCCACTGTGTCCTCCCCTCAGCCGGAGCTTCCTTCTTGACCTTTCTCCCCCAGGAAGTAATATCAGCCGTTGAGGATCGGGGTGTAAAATTGGGGTGGGCGACCAGCACATCAAGTATTACTCTAACCAAAATCAGAGTTTATTAAAAACAATGTTTTTTTGGTTAGACTAACCCTTTTAAATTTTATAACAACCGGTAAGAAAATATCTTTACATTTAAAAATTATCAAAGCGGAAACAAGCTGTCGTGCTGTGATTGTTTAAAAATTCCTCTCTTTGCCTTCATTGAAAGTGCATTCGAAGTCCATTTTCATTCGGGTTTTGATAACGCGTAGCAGTGACGATGATGTTACAGAAGAGCTTGGCCCTGGATGACGATAAAACATTCATGTAAGATTCTGGCAATTTGTCAGGAAACACTTTGCTTTTAAACATGTGATCGATTTTGCTTCAAATAGTTTTACCTCCTGGGAACATTTGACATTTTTCCGTGGTATTGTGATTTCTGGGTAAGTCGATGCCCGGGTGGCATACAGTGACTCCTTTGTCATGTGTAATAGAAAATAATTATCCGTCTATGTAATTGCCGGATGGTTTCACCAATATAATATCCCAGCTCACGTTTAGTGCATTGTATCATGTTTAAACCATTTTTATGTTCAGAATGATGAGCCTTTCATGATGTATCCCTGGTTGTTGTAATTCATATAACTGTACTGACACAGCTAGGAGTGATATTCCCAGCATCCTCCTGGGCACAAACCAGGCAGAGAACTAATAAAGTTTTGTCAAAATACAACACACAAGTGTGGATTAAGGGCACGGTAGATTATCGGAGGGTACATCCAGCCATCTGGACAGCTTGGGAAGACCTCAAAGATACATTGCTCTACTTGTCTCTACACCTACATATTCTAAGCAAAAAAAGACTTGGAAAATGTCTTGAATTTTGTCGAGTGCCCCTATTATTGCCTAATTCCATATGCTTCAGAGGGAAACTATGGATAAAAAAAGGACTTCCTGTTTTTTTTTTTTTAATGCATCATACAGACACTGTATTAAAATAATGCAAAAAAAATATTATTAAAGTTCCTGTATTTGTGTGACGTTACCTGTAGCTAGAGGCAGATCCCACCCACACTAAAACATGGTCTGTTCTTATCTCATAAACTTCTGTAGAGCAAGAGGTTTATGGGATATGTAATTAATCCACCAGGAGATGTTTTACACATTGCTGTATGTGTACTTTTTGTGTCTGTAGAGGGACTGCTGAAGTGCCATGAATGCATGTCTACCAGGGCCGTCTAATTAACACGGGGCCCCATGGCCCTGCCACCCACATTAAAAGAAAAAAAAAATATTTCCCTAATGGGCCCACGGTGCTGGTATTGCGGCTGCACTGGGGCCCACACACTAAGGGGGCCCACCGGGTGGCCCATACACTTAAGGCCACCTGGTGAGCAGGTTTCAGCAGAGGCTCGGTCGGGCGCTGTGGCCCTTTAACAGCGCAGCCGAGCCCCATGCCTGACAGCTGCATGGGAGGAAGTGACGACCGAGAGTCACTTCCACCTCAAAGATGATGAGCCGCACGGGAGGCTGAGCAAGGAGAGCCAGACCCCAACTCCCAGCCAGCACACTGTACCCCAGAGAAGGTATCCTCTTGCACAGTATGTCTGTCACAGTGTGTCTGCCGGTCAGTGTGTGTATCTGTGTGTGTGTCAGTGTGCCAGTATGTATGTATGTGTGTGTATCAGTATGTCTGTCACAGTCTGTCTGTATGTGTGTGAATATGTATGTATATGTGTCAGTGTTTGTATCTGCATTTGTCAGGTTATGTATCTGTATGTATGCATTTGTGTCAGTGTGTGTGTGTGTCTATATAGCTGCATCTGTATCGTGTATATCTGTGTATCTGCATGTGTTTTAGTGTGTGTGTGTATATGTGCATACATCTCGGCATTCCAATGCCAACACTACACATAAATACACACCTGCATTCAAACTTCAACACTACATACAAACACACCACTTTGTTAAACCCCAAAATTATATATAAACACATCTGTGCATTCAAAAACCAACACTACACATAAATACATGCTTGCATTCAAATGCCAAACACACCCCTACATTCACGCAAACATACTCCATACAATAACATGCTTACATTCAAACACACAAACACTGCTCAGTGCTAAATACAACCCTGCATGCATGGGAAAATGGTAGCGCCTCAGCTGTCAAAGCATTGTTGGAGTTGCACTGCAGATGGGGATCTACCTTTTACCCAAAATAATTAATGCACCGGAGCCCTCTCTACTTTACATCCACCTCTGCGTGGGGGTGGCCTTGATTGCTTGCCAGGGAAGGGGAGGGGGAACAACAGGGTACAGGGGGCCCAAGCAAATGTTTGCCCAGGGTCCAATCAATATTAAAGATGGTCCTGATGTCTACACATGTAAATATCTGACCATCCCACCTCTAGATATGATATAGGAAGGGACCTTATTTCCATAAATGCATACAGTAAATTCTGGCACTCCAGATTTTGTGGACTACATCTCCCATGATGCTCTTACAACCATAATGCTGTAAGTGGGAGATTAAGTCCTCCACATATAGAATGATGAAGGCTGCCTACTGTTAGAAACCCTGATTTATCACTTGTCTTAAAGTATATCTACCTAACTCATTAAATTTAAATCGTCATGAACAAGGTTATTTACTGAAGTGTAAATTAGCTTTTTAACAAATTAACTCTATTCAATTTGCTTTGAATTCCCAACAGTACACACTTTAAAAAGAGTATTTTCTATAAAACCCTGAAATTCTTTAAATTCTTTGCTGCCTTTTGTCTTTCTGCCTATTATCTCCTTTAGATTGTAAACTCACTGATCATCTTTTGATAAA